CTTTTTCCTCTGACACTTTTTGGGCCCATAAAAATATTTAACACGCCATAAAAGTATGGACATGGTAATATATAGCAGGAAAAATAAGTAATAAACATATCAGTGTTTTTTTTATTTTTTGTTTTTTTTTTTTTCCTGGTAAAACGCTTCTTATGGACTTATTGAAGTTCACATTAATTGCTGGAAACAACCCAAGTAATAGTACACATGCTAAGAAATTGAAACAAATGAGTCCAAAAGTGAACCAGTGTAATAAAGTTGATTAGCACAAGAAATAAGTGCTTCATTTTATAACAAATCTGACTAGAACAATTTGGCCTATTAGAAAAGCTATTGAGAAACACGTTGATGTGGTGAAAACACATTTCCTTGGTTTGTAAGGTACATAACCTGCCAGCTGAGGACTAATAGCGTTTGAATGAAGATCCTTCTGCTGTTCTAACTGCGACAATTTGACATTAAGCAAAAGAAGAAGAATGACTAAAACTAAAACTAATAAATACACTGCAGCCTTTCACAGCATGACAACACCACGCACAGTGATAGCAGAACTATAAAGTTTGAAAGCTAAATATGTATTCAATACCTGTTCACTAGGAGGATTTTGTTATTCTTAGCTCCTTTGTTTTGTGTGAACAGCCCCTTATCTAAAAGCTACTGAAGCCCATTCCTCCCACTTGTTATCCATGTGATGCTTTTCCCCCCCTTTAATTGAATTACTCGCTTAACAAATGAACCCAGCAAATAATGCGTGTGGGTGAAAAATTATGTTAAAAAAAACAAACAAATTACACAACAGAAAAGCAGAAGACTATTATTGTATGCCACATTGTGGTTTAGGTTGTTAGGAAAGCACAGACAATATGCAGAGCATAAATATTTGCTTAAACTACATGAAAATATATTTTACTGTCCTCACACATGCATTTGCAGGCAGCAATGCACTGCAACACAGTTTTATTTCACCACTTAATTGCCTTACTTAGCCTTGTTGCTTTTGTAATGGGTAATTGGTTGTCATGACAAACACTCTGTCTATTCATAGCTCACTAGCCTTAGTGGGGGAAAAAAGCCCCAGGATTTACATTTGAAGACACAATTTAGAAGTTTTCCAATGTAAGCTTTCCTAGAAAGTATAAACTGTGCCATATGAACACTCTAAATTAAAGTAAAGGAAGAAATGCTAGGTTATAATGTTCATGAAAATAAGTATGACTGTCATCAGATGTATGTCAACAGGAGCATCAATGTAAGTTTCAATTACAATATTTTTTCTCCTTTTGTGAAATGTTATTAAGATTGACACAAGGGTTATGTGTTTAGCCACAGGCTTAGTAAATATGTATAAGCATTAGTAAGCTGTGATTTGTAAAAAAAAAAAGTTAAATAATCACTACATACAATAAAAACAGTGAACAAACTACACATGTTGGAAAAGAGAAAAAGCCACAAAACCTGTGAGTGACTGACAATGACTTTGTTAGAAAGAACACAAACTTTGAGCTGTCACTTTTAAATTACATTTCTTTGCGTACTTTTTCTTCAGTTATTTCAAGTGTATCTGATTTGGGTTGGAATTTACAAAAAAAAAAAAACTTACTTAGATTCGAGCATTGAACATATTTATATAATGTTGGAAAATAAACGATTTGGGAAGCAAGCAGCAAGGTTACCCATGCATAGCACATCTTATTACTGTAGCAACCATAGGCTACGTTGATAGACAAACATAAAATCACCATGACTTCTTCAAGTAATTAGGGGAGCTTAATATGTTGTTAGCAGGTCATGCTCAATTCTCATTTGCAAGATGAACCTGGCTGAGTTAGTGGCTACATCAGTGGATAATGCAGTGGGGGTGTTAGAAGATAACATTCAGATATGCAGTGAATAAAACACTGTATATAAATAGGATTGTTTATTTTCTTGGTACCTTAAGATGACATTTTCTGTGACTCAGAAATCCAATTCAGTTCAAATCCTGCGATAGACTGGCGAAATAGCCTATGTAGTGCTTACATTTTATTTTGACAATTTGGATAAAAAAAGTTAATCTACAAAATATTCAATTGAATAGATTACATAGGGCTTTTTAATACCAAACAACGTAGACCTCATTATTATTCACTGGGGACTGAATGATTTTTTTTAAAACCAAATAATCTTCTTGCCAAAAAAAAAAAAGAGTTTAATTTAAAAAAGTTGAATAGGCATGCTAAAACTTTCTAAATTAATTTTCTTTTGGCTCGTAGCTGAAGGCCACCTTACACAGGACCTGTTGTTTGACAAATGCCCACCGCAACCTCAGCCTGAATCTTTGTGTAACCATGATGACTGGCAAAACAAAAGGAGAGAAGAATTGTTTTTTTTTTTTTTTTTCTGATTGAGAAGGTGAGAACACGGTTCTAGGAGAGGAACGGGTTTCTTCGAGTGTGACAGAAGCATTAGTGGCAGTTGGGATGAGGGAAAAAAAGGTCGTCAATATCCAGTCTGTCTGTTTTTTTTCCCACAGCGATTTCGTTTCTGCTACATCATTTATCTAGAAGGATTTAATGCAGGTTGTGTGAACCTATTACAACCTCAAATGTGTGCGCATCCTTTACATTTGTAACAGGTGCAGGATCTAAAACATCTCCTTTACATCACTATGGGAAGTTCAGTCAAATGCTGAATGGGGCAATACTGATCTGTTTGGATGGCTGAGCTCAAAAGAAATAAAAAGGTTGTGTGGTTGTGTGACTGAGAAAATGGGGGAATTACACTTACTTAAGCAATTATATGAGTCAGAGATAAAATACAGACACAGAGAGAAAACACCAGTGAGAGAAAAATACTGACAAAAAATGAAACTGTTCAAGCTACACCAACACCTTAAATCTTAAAGCACATTTAATCCCCAGCTTTGTCTGGGGAGTAAATGTGTTTACTATTGGTTCTACAAATTATTATGTAATGGACATAAATTCAAATACACGCCACACTTACCAGATTTTTATTTGCAGAAAAAAAAAAGAAAACATAGATCATTTTCCTTCCACATCTCAAATACACATTGAATACATTCAAGATCATATATTCTTTTGCAAGGTAATTGAACATGCTTTTTGCATGGGCCCACGCCTTTAGAGCAAATTTAGATTGACAAATACATTTTGAAGAGTTGACACCATCAATCAGGTTAGAGGGTGTCGCCACGCGTCAAGCTTTAGCGGCAGATTCATGCCGACTGATTGACTGATTAAATCACACGGGCAGAGAGCTGGCATTTCTTGACATTCATGAGGATAATTTGAGCTGACAAATTCCATTGTTAAAGCACCTAGAAGACAAAACCAGTTTCGCTGAAAGTCAAGAATAGGTGCACAAAATAGAAACTCTTCCATCACATTTCAGAAAAGCAAATAAGCTCTGTCATTGTCCTGAGTAAATATGTGGTTTTTTTCTCTCTCTCTCGGGGAAACAATGCTGCTTGTTTGCTCATTAAAAGAAATGAGCTGCTTCAAAAAAAAAAAAAAACTTATCCTGATTCATCCTCTGTCTGGGGAGATTCACAGAATGTTTGCACTTTAAATGATCTTTGTTTCATTTCCTTTAATTCAGAAAGATTCACAGTTAAATCTGAGATAGGTGATGTTGTTTCAAAATCAACCTAGACAGAGTGTTGTTGTTTTTTTGTTTTTTTCCAGTTCCCTGGAGTATTTTATTTGTTTGTAAAACAATCCTCTGCTAATTATCATAAACAGTAAGAGATTTTGGGATTATGAAGCAAAGGACTCATGTTTCGTTAGCCTAAAATTTCCCCTCTGAAATGGTGCAGACCGGCAGGTCTCTGCTGCTGGCAGTAGAGTTGTGGGTGTGCGTGTGACACTGGGTGGAAAAGAAGAGTGTGCTGCAGCTGCTCCTTTGAGCTCACGCAGTAAATCCACACACATACACTCATGAGCGTGGACATGCGTCAGTCTCCTGTGTCACAGTACCCCTGCCCATAATGATGGCAACAGCCAAAAGCTACAGCTGTCTCCTGAAAGATTGACTTAACTTACTGTGATGTGTCTGTTTTTCATGAAAAGCCCCCTCCACCCTCACACTCCCCCCCTACACACACACACACGCACGCACACACACACACACACACACACACACACACACACACACACGCTCAACCTCAGTTTGCAATCAGCTGAAAAGATGCTGAGTTTTCTACTTCTTTTGGATGACTCGAAGCAATCACTTTTCTTTGAATACTGTTTAATGATCCCAGTTTGTTTCAAAAGTCTTGCATGGTGAGGTAAGCTGTTTTTGTTACCTTGTGTTTTTTTTTATTATTTTGTTTTATTGCATATTCCATAGACATGCATGCCTCAGGTGTGTTTCTGCAGAGTGACATTTTGTGGGAGGACATTTAATGCAGTTTATTGATTTCAACAGAAAGGGAACAGGAGAAGATCAATACTGCTTGTGACAGCCCTGTTTCCTAAACCTATAAGCTGTCCCTTCCAAGAGTGCCTCGAGCCATGCTGGTAGAAACTAATGAGAATAAGCAGTTGTCACATAAAGTTTTGTGATATGACAGAGAAAGAAGATTGTCTTTTTAGCACCCACTGATGCAGCTAGGGGAGGTTTTATTAAGGTTTTATATTCAGGATCCTATCTGGCTTGGTGCTGTTACACACAAAAACAAGATACCAATAAAACGAGAGATTTAATCGTCATTCGGGAACAACCTGAACAGCAACATTATGTCAGGCTGTGTTTAATCATGATGGTTGTTGTTGAGCTGCATGTGTGGGTAGGCTGGTGCATGTGTGCACTCAAACAAGTTGATAAGTAATTATCATAGGAAAAAAGATAATTATATATCTTAAAACCTTCTGACACTAAAAAAAAAAAAAAAAACTAAAAAAAATCATACAAAATGTTTTAAAGGAAAATAAAATTAGTCATAAAATGAGAAGCAGCTTTCAAAGATTTCTATAGGGATGTTGTTTTATTTCTATACAGTTTGTGTTACAGTGCCTTCTGAAAGCATTCCTTCCTCTCTGAACTTTTCTACATTTCATTATTTTAAAAACAGATGCTTCAATGTAATTTATTCTGGCTATACATTATTCAAAAACACAAATGGAAGCATAGTTGGGCCATGGAAGACAAATTCTACTAGTTTTTGTTCCTTTTCTTTAAACCAATATCTTTTAAAAATGTGATACATAGATGTGTATTTCATCACACTAAGTCAATGCTTTGCTGCACCACCTTACACTGCTAATATAGCAGTTGGTCTCTTTTCTTGGGGTACACCTTTGTGAGCTTTGCACACCCATAAATCAAAAGTTTTCACAAAATTTTATTTGCAAAATAGCTCAGTTTAAATCAGACTAAAAGGGAAGTTTCTTTGAATATAATTTCCAAGATGAATCTCAATTGCTTGTAGCCCAAAAAGTTCAGGGTCATTTAACCAGAGCACCTTCTTCCATGGGTTTGTCGTGTCACCAATATTTTACGACATAACCATTTTTGATTTTGGCTTAAAACTGATTTTCTTCTTATCAATTTTAGACTCGACGTGTAGAGCGCACAGACAGCAGATGTTCTGTTCCCTGATTATACCTCTTGCTTGGATCTCTGCAGCCCCTCAAGACTCATCATGGGACTTTTGGCTGCTTCTCTGATTAATGCTCTTTCCACAGCCTATTCATTTAGGTAGAGTGTTTTTGGTAGATTTGTCATGGTGGTAGTTGTGGTGTCCTCTTTCTCCCTTTCAGGTGATGGATTAAAGAGAAACCTGGAGTGTTTGCTGTGTCGTATGGTGTTTATTTTGCTGCTCAGTCACTAATGACCTCTAACAAACCATTGAATTCTTGTCAGCAAGCTGAAGTAATGTGGGATATGGATTAACAAAGTGATTAATAAATTAGTATTATTACTTTATTTTCTGTTGTCTGAATCCCCCATCTGCCAGTCTTTAGTTTTCTATTTTGCTCCAGTTGTTGCCTGTGTGTAGTTCTCCTATGTGTCACAATAACTGTTTGTAACATATGTCTATACACTTACTATTAGATTTAATTTTTGAGTTAACATTTGTGTCTCTCTGATTGTCTGTGCTAATGCTTATTATGGCATTTTGAATTTAATAATGTATCTACAGTGTGACAGAAATAGAAAATTACCCAATTCCCATCTCTAAAAAGAAATCAGTTCCTTTATTGTTTTTCATTTGAAGTGACATATATATATTTTATTATTTAAAAAAAATAGCTTGATCTTTACATTTTTGTGTCAACAGCAACGATGGAAAGAAGTGCTACAAAGAGAGGAGAATCTGAAGTTGTCTTCCTAAATGCAATACATCAAATTATTTTTGTATGATGTATGAATTTGACAGAGATGAGTGCTCTTTATAAAAAAAAAAAAAAACAGGACATTGAAAGGGGAACTCCGGAGTATTCAGTCTCTTGTCCACTAATCACAATAGAAGTCCATATCCTAAAAATGAAACAAAAGGTTAGGTTAAAGGCACAAGATATTCACAAAAACAAACAGGAAATATTTAAATGAAAGACAGACACTCACAGTGGTCTGCTTCCGAACTGTGTTGTCTGTAAACGTCCTGGTCTCTTTCACCACAGTTGCAGGGAAATATCCCGTTCTACCCATCTGGTCCACATACCGCTGACTGTACACCTGGCAGAAAACACAACATTGCAGTCTAAATGTACAGTAGCAAATATTTTACTGTATATTTAAACTGAAACAAAAATAACAAAACAAACACCTTTATTTATTTGTAGCACTTGTTACAAGTGAAAATATATAATAAGTTATAATATCTTTGGCAACAAGAGGATTTAATTGTGTAGCTTGCTAATATGTGGATTTCAATAAACATGCACATACACTTCCATACCAGAAGACTCCAGCGCCATCTGGTGGTATGAGTTTAGAATACACATAAACCATCTGACCCTTTTTTATGTTGATGAATCTGCAGTCAGGAGCTATGAAGTCATCCACAGCTGTGGCCATTGAAAGAACATCTTATGAAGCAAAGACAAAACACAACTTACATAAACTATGTGCCATTTGATTATTGATTTATGTGCAGTTTCAACATTACAATTCTATATAATTAACAGCTCTGTAAGTAATATTCTGACTTACATGAACATTCTGCATCTCCGCACATCTTGCGATCTGCTAGTTTATCCATTCGGACCGCCATCGTGGTCTGGTGAAGCAGTCCAACAAGGAGCAAGCTTACCAAGGGACTCATGGTGGGCAAAAGGGAACAGCTACAGAGAAGTTTTGAGTTGGAATGCAGAGCATGGGAAAAGCTGCAAAAAAAAAAAAAAAGGACTTAAAAATCCCCAAAGACTTCTCAGTCAAGAAGGGATGGGTTGAGCCCCAACATCACAGGATTTGTGACCAATCAGAACTGAGTTTCACGAATGCCAGAATTCATCTCATTCAAGGGAGTAGGCTGGCCCTCTCAAATTTCATACATTCTTCACTAACAAGAATGTGGCAGAATGTGGAGTGGCAGTTAAAAACAAAGTACTTGTAAACTCAGTATACACAATATATACAGTAAAACAATATAATAAATTAAACCATCAAACTGTAAACAACAGGAAAGACACATGATCATTGACACCAAACATTATATTCAATTTGAACACAAGCAAAAGAGCAAACAATCAAATATAACTTACTCTACTTAAAAAAACAGTAACTATCATATAATCAACATAAAAATTGCCGGCAAATTTCTCAATGGTTTTACTTTTTACAGTTTCATATGGTTATTTGAATATTATTACATTGTTGACTCTCACACAACGTCTGATTTATATATCCATGAAAAACTTTTGTTGTTTTACCTATCAATTGTTCCCCGAGAGTGTGAAATAAAACACATTCTAGTGAAATTCCACCTCCTTGTCTTTCACATTATCCATAAAATGTTCTCTGTGAAATCCAAAAGTTGTTTTCAAAATATGACTGGCTTGCATATTATTAGTGACTCATCCTGTAAGGCAGAATGAGTCATTAACACAACCTGTCATTTGGTCAAATGCCATCATTGCTGAAATTCTTTCTATTGACACTGACATAGGTTTGCTTTAGTTTTCATGCGTTAATGGATATAGAAGCCACCAAGGGAGACGAGTCAAGACTTCCTAGGGTTGGGTCACTGAATAATGTGGCCTTGACAATCCCAGCATTGACCTTAACTCACCTGCCATTGTGATTGTTTTTGCTACATCTTATAAACCTGATGCCTCTCATTTTACAGTGGAAATGAGGTGGACATCCAAAGAACACCCACCTCACTTCCTCCCCTCACCACCCTCAACAACACCGTGTCTACTATGGATCAATTTCAGATATATAGGATATAACGTCTTTGTCCTCACACTAAGACACTGCTTTAGAAAAAAAAAAAAAAAAGTATTGCTCAATAGTTTTGATACTCAGCAGGGGAGTTTAATTCGACTAATCCTATAAACATATTAACTAAAATCCTATTCGCACATTTTAGATATATTTAAATATAAATAGTTCTTATTCTTTATTCTTCAAGTGAGAAATATTCGTTTTCATTTACATAATTAAAGCATTTTAAAAATTCATAACATATTACCATGTCATTATACCCTTATAAAGCCCAAATTAAGAAATGACGCATAATGTACAGCGTTTTCAAATTTACTTTTTGCTATGGTCACTAATGTGGTTTCTCTTTGCCATTTATTGGTAAAAACCATCTGTAACTTTCATAATCTCTTGTAAACAAAGGTATTTTCCGGTGTCGTCTGATGCAAAGCCTCGCAACACGGTATACCTATCTGAGAATGTTTTGTGAATCTTTCCAGTTAGCCGGGCGGAGTTTAACCCATGTAAAGTACTGTGGAAGCCGAAACAAAACGAACCGCTCACTCGCGCTTTACGGTTTATTATATCAAGCGCCCCTAAACGCTTTTCGTATTGTGACGTAGGCAGTTGAAAACTTAAAAGGATACAGCACTTCAGGGCTGGGGTTAGTGTTATTGTTCGATTTGAAGATTTTGGTGGAAGCCGAAACTTTGCTAATATTGTGGAGAATGTAATCGATAATCAGAAGTGTGACCTTATTAAAATCTAGGCGCACACATGCCTGGCCTAGATGCTTTTAGCTTTTTTTTCCATATTACAGCAGCATATTTAGACAGGCTGAGGTAAGCTAGCAAGCTCGGTCCTAAAGAAGCCGATGGATGCGCGGGTTTCGGAGTTATTTGGGTCAGCAAGCGGGCACGGCTCCGGTGGATCTCAGGGATCTACGTCTAACCACAAGCCAGGAAATGGCAACGGGGTTGTCTCAAAAAAGACTGGTGCAAAGAACAAGAAAGCAAGAACTCGATTTCCTCGCAACTTCAAACCGAGCAATAACACACCATATCTACCCCCAGAGGTAAGGCTGATGCTAATCTATGAAGTACATTTAAGTGATTCGAAATAAAGTCATATGAGAAACACAAAAGAAGTCTAGAAAAACAAGGAACAAACAGGAAATATGTGCCTTCTGGCTTCCACTGCACAGAAACGCTAATGTTTTCTGTTATTTCCTGTATGGCTAACTTTCCTATCCGAAACTAGTGACACGTAGTGAACAAAAGAGAACGTCTGAGCGGTCTATGTTGGGTCAAAGTGACCAAATTTTCACTCATTGTTTATTATATAATAGAGTTGTATTTTGCAATTAATGGTTTTTATCTTTTTTTTTGCATTATTATTATTTTTATTATTATTTATTCTAGCAGTGGGGCTAGCTAGCCTAAAAGAGGAACAGCTGTGTTTGTAAATAAGGGGGGCGGATGTGCAAAGCTTGGCCGACATTCACTCGTTGGGACAAATACATCAACTCATACAATAAAGTCCCAGTGACTTTATTGAAACAAATAAAAAACAACAAATACCTATGTGTAATAACACGGAGTTAATAGACTTCTAGATATTCCTAAAAGTTAAATTAGCAAACAGGTTACACTTTAAATTAATCAGTTTTTCTGTATTTGCGCCCATCTCCCTTCCTTTTTTTAACACCTATAACAAGAAGTATTTCAGTAATAATAAATGTTTGTCCCATAAAGTAATTGCACTTGACTTTAATTACCATTGGTTTTAAACATTGCTCCTAATGGTATAGAAGAGATGTGTATAATAAGGGCAGCTGTGGCTTAGCAGTCACTGCCAGCCTATTCACAGCCCGGTGTTTTCTGCTCATTCAGTCAGGTTGGTTTTCTCTTTATCTTTGAACAAATGTTGCAGTTCTCTGTTTGACAGCATTTGTTCCTCTTCTGTCTCTCTTTATTTTACTATCCTGTCTCTCAGGCTGAAGAGGGAAACATAGAATACAAGGTAAGCAAGAAACTTGTTTTATGTTTTGGTTTTTCTTTAGAGAAACCGGAGCAGGCCACCGAATGCTTCAAAAATGACTGATGTACGACAGCCATGTAATTGGCAACACTTGTTTTTTTTGTTGTTTCACAATCACGTAGCTAGAAGTCTCACAGAGAAATATTTCAGAAGAAACACAGGTGCACCCTCTCTGTGGAAACACAACAGCCAAGTGGATTAGCAGGATTATTTTTAGTAACTCAACATTTGCTCTAGTCCTACACTAAACCTAAGTTTTACATATTAGTTTGTACATTTGCTAATACTAATACTACTAATGTTCAACAACTCGTTCGATTTTATTTATTTATTTATTTTTTTACTTTTACAGCTTGGCTTTAAGGCCAGCAATAATTTCTAAAGCTTTTGTCATTTTTAGCTAAAGCTGGTGAACCCCACACAAAACCGCTTTGAGCACCTGGCAACACAAATGAAATGGCGACTGCAGGAGGGTCGGGGCGAAGCCGTCTATCAAATAGGTGTCGAGGACAATGGCATGCTGGTGGGACTGTCGGAGGAGGACATGAGGGCGTCGCTGAAAACACTCCATAGGCTGGCCGAGAAGTGAGTCCTGGATGCCGGTTTTATTCTATGCTTTTATTATGCTTGCATAACCAGACGGGCAATAATATGTTGTTGTGCGACCTTTGGCCCTCAACTTGTTTTACTAGGGCATCGTGTGAAAGTCACATAGTGTATGTGAGTCCATAAAGCATTAATTTTCAGCAAGATCTTGGGTTTGTGGTTGGAAGTGGACGAGATGTAAGAAGGATCTCTCCATACTACCTTATTCACTCTTTCACAGTCTGATGTTTCCTTGCATTTACACCTTGAAATACGTCCATGTAATGTGTTATGATAATAATCTGAACATTTAGTACTTTAGTATAGCCTGCTTACTTTATCCTTGGGCACATAGACTTACGGAGGCTACAGCTGATCCGCTGAAGCATATCCAGATCGTAACTTTATCCCCGCTGGACTGCACATTCGGTACTTGGAATGATGAGCGCGTCACTCAATCCTCTGCTGCCCTTAACACAAGCAAAGTTTTGCTGTCCAGACTAAAATATATGTAATACAAATGTAATACAAATTGATAGAAATTTCAGTTCTATAATTTTTTTTTTCTACAACTGTTTTTAATAGGGTGGGAGCTGACATTGCAGTTCTCAGAGAACGAGAGGTCGAATACGACTCTGATGTTCCTCGGAAGATCGCTGAAGTTCTCATACGAAAGGTCCCCGACGATCAGCAGGTTAGTTCAGCTTCTAGAAACGCATGCTGTTTTTTTTTTTTTTGTTTGTTTTTTTTAAATCAACTTTTCGTTTATTTATTTACTTTATTATTATCTGACCGTTTCTTTTTAACTCGTATCACTTGCTCTTCCTCCTCTGCAGTTCTTAGACCTACGAGTGGCAGTCCTGGGTAACGTGGACTCTGGTAAGTCCACTCTGTTGGGCGTTTTAACACAAGGTGAGCTGGACAACGGACGGGGAAGAGCGAGACTCAACCTCTTCAGGCACCTGCATGAAATCCAGACTGGGCGCACGTCAAGCATCAGCTTTGAGATCCTCGGCTTCAACAGCAAAGGAGAGGTGAGAAACGACCAGCATCAAGAGTATTATTAATGTCTTCCTTAGCTCGTTAATCAGACTAAAATGCAATAGGCAGCATGATCATGAAATAGAATCATATCTCGTTTCGCTTTTTCCTAGGTGGTAAATTACAGCGAGTCTCGCACTGCAGAGGAGATCTGCGAGAGTGCCTCTAAAATGATCACCTTCATAGATCTGGCCGGTCACCACAAGTACCTGAAAACCACCATTTTTGGCCTCACCAGCTACTGTCCAGACTTTGCCATGCTTGTCGTTAGCGCAAACAATGGCATCGGTGCGTTCATGTTCACTAAACTTTACAGTCATTTGGTTCTTATACATTTAAAAATGTACGCTGAGCTTTCATGACTTGTTCAGGTAACTCAAGTAAAGAGTACATTACGCAAGTGTCCGTGTCGCAGTTAAAAATAACTCGACTCACACATACAGAGTTGTTATGTATGACACTGCAGATATGTAGTATCTGAGCTTACATAACATATCCACCTTCCAACACCCATCTCTGCTTCCAGCCGCCACATCTTTGCTGGTCCCAAAATATCTCCAGCAGCATCGATTTAAAAAAAAACGCTTTTTGACACACAGAACATAGTTATGCGTCTGGTCTTACTCCAAATCGGGTTCCTGCAAACAAATCGACAAAAGAAAAAAATAAAGAAATAAAATACAGATTCAGCTTTAGCGGCCATAAAATAATCTTAAACTTTACCACAGCATCAATATCTGTAAATTATGTATCAGTATATTGTTAAACTATAAGCAATTAGACTTGCAGCAAGAAGCACGTACCCAGGAAAGAAGCGCAGTGAAACCTGAGCTGGTATGCTAATTACACAGACAGGGAAGTTGGCACA